TGAAGCTACATGTTTATATATTTTGCATAAACATTTTTAAAATTTAACTTCATTTATAAATCTTTAAAATGTGTATAAAAAATATTGTAATTTTTATTACAGATTTATTACAAATTATATTTCAAATATTTAGTTCGATAAAATATTTTTTTGTCAACGGTACATTGTTTGTCAAATTAAAAACCTTTTGCAGCTATGAAATCCTACTTATCCTTTAAATACCTTAACATTTATTACACTGCTTAAAAAAAATACAAACAAAACGAGTCAACTCAAATAAATCTGTAACTTAGTTTTTAGTAAAAAAAATTTTTTTTTAAAATGGTATATTTCAAAAAGCCCTCCACCGATTTTTTTCTTTTTTGTCTTAAAATAATGCTAAAAAAATATAAATTCAGAATCAACAAAAAAATTTAGAGTTACTGAAAGTTTGAATAAAATTTAGTTCAGGCCAACCGTGTAAGTTTAATTAAAATCGGTTAAAAATTATCTGAGCACGGAGGAATAGTAAGGAGACCGATCTTGCTGTAGTAGCGCTTCTGAAAATGTCAGAAAAACATGTACAATAAATGCCAGTATCACTGCATTTTACTCAACCACCAAAGTAGCTGAGCATACGCATTAGCCATATGCTGTCTCTTTTTCTCGCAAAAAGTGTGCGAGTGAGATCTGGCTGACGTATATTTCTCAAGTCTTCCATGCGTGTTGTGATGAAGGTGTTTTGTGTTATTGTTATGTTATTATTTTAATAATTATTATTGTTTATTTTAAAATGTCGTGCTGTGTTCCAGGATGTAAGAAAAATCTTTTTCATGACATACATAATAAATAATATGTTTGTAATTACTATGGCTCCATTATTCTTTTAATAAAATTTCTTCAATTTATTGACACTTTAAATATTCCAATAGCATACATTATTATATACTTACACATAATTTTGGAGATACAATATCGCAATAGTAAATATCTGAAATAAACACTGAACACTAAGATTTTTTTTGTGACATATGTATATCGCATAACCACACTTTTCATCTGTCAAAATTGAGGTCCAATGCGCATGCTCAGCTACTTTGGTGGTTGAGTACAATGCACTGAACCTGGCACTTATCGTACATGTCTTTCTGACATTTTCAAACGCAGAGATCAGTCTCCTTACTATTCCTCCGTGTGTCTGAGCTACATTGCACGGCGCGCGAAAAAACACGTTTGGAGAAAAACGCGTTTAAAGTTTTCGATACATAAAAGTAGTGTTTTATCTATTGCCTTGCAGACATTGTGTATTTAAAAATAACTATTGCACTAAAACCAAGATTTACTATCACTTGCTTATGATGCTTGCTAATGACAATTAATAAAATTATATTGAAAAGAAACCGAAAGAATAGAGGGTCTCTTGCTCATAGTTAACTGCAATTGGTAACATCTGAAGTGCTAAATATATGTTTACTATAGACTGGCGAAAACACGAAATTGGCGTTCCTATTTAGACTGAATTTTTTAAAAGTATACATTAATTTTAATTACCACAAATTAATATTTCCATATTTTAGACATCAGGAAATAAGAATATGACAATAAAAATTCTTTTTTTTGAGATTATCAATGTTCTTTTGGACGCTGAAATCGGTAATTTTTAATTCTTTTCAGCAATTTGGCGTTCCACTTTTACTCAATTCTTATTTAATAAAACTCAGTTTTTTCATTGAAAAACGATATTAAGGGATATTTAGTACCACATCTTTTTTCAAGAAAATAAATTTTCTAAAAACTGCATAATCTTGTAGTAGATATATGTAGAAATATTATAGAAACTATTATTTTGGTTGGGAACTTCGGTAACATATCGAAAAATGGGTTGCAATGTAAAAGTCACGCGCACATGGAGAGTACTCTTCGCGAGTACAATCTATGCTATTATATATCTTTCTATATTATAAATAGATTACGCCGCCGCCGCTGTTTCAGAAATTTTGACAAGGATGGGTCATTCCATGTCAAGTGTACCCAACCCATGTTTTTGACAAGGTTAGGTAAGGGTGAGCCAACCCATGTTTTTGACATGGATAGTACAATAGTTGGTTACACTTGATACGGAATGACCCATATGAATATAGCTGCAAGTCCCCCCTTCTCCCCCTCCCTGGCAAAAATGACCTTAATTTTAAGGTTATGTTCGTTTCAAGACTCTGAATAGGGCCGCAAGTCTTCCCCCCTCCCTTACCCTTTCTCCGTATTTCCTACCAAAAATGACATAAATTTTGAGGTTATGTTCATTTCAAGACTTTCAATATAGCCGCAAGTCCCCCGTCTCCCGCCTAAAATGACATAAATTTTGAGGTTATGATCGTTTCAAAACTGAATAGGGTCGAAAGTCCTCCCCCCTCTCCGTATTTCCCGCCAAAAGTAACCTAAATTCTGAGGTTATGTTTGTTTCAAGACTCTGAATAGAGCAGCAAGTCGTTCCCCCTTCCCTCATCTCTCTCCGTATTTCCCGCCAAAAGTGACATAAATTATGAGGTTATGTTCATTTCATTCATCATAGCCGTTTTAAAAATTGAAAATAATAAAAATTATTGTTAATAAAAATCGTAAATGACATTTAAAGAAATAAATAATAAAATATTAATAATAATTTTAAATTCCAGAAATTGTCTAAACATTAACTACAACATCTACAAAACCAATAAAAAATAGGGGGTTGGCGCGCAGAGGGGCGAAGCCCCTCTAGTATATATGTGTATATATACCTATATAAATATATACATGTATACAATGTATCCTGTCGTGTAAGGGGGTATTTTCTTGGAAAAGGATATGACTTCGTAAATTTGCTTTTTCTCAAAACAACATTTTTTGACCTGGCGAACATCATAAAAAAACTATTGCACCGTTTAAGCTCAAATTTTTATGGCTTATTCTACACATATACCGCTATCATCGGAACTAGAATCATAATTTTTCATTAATAATTTACCATTTTTTTAAAACAATTTGAGTTGAAAAAACAAGGTCATAAATGAAAAAAGTCCGCAATTTTGTTTTTTTCATCGAAAATAGTTTATTCTAGTTCCGACGATAGAGTCGAGCTTACTTTTGAAAAAAATATCAAAAATTTTATTTTTCGATGACCTGAATTGGAGATATCGTGTCCGCCAATCACAAGTAAGGGTACTTTCAGGCGGCCATGACAGCAAGATAATCCATAATAAATAAGGAATAAATTTTTTTTAATAGTTTAAAACCCCTTCTTTTAGGTATAAAAAGTTTGAAGTAAATAAAATAAATTTTGTAATAAAAAAATATTTAAGAAAAGGCACTGAGATGTGGTACTAACCCCTTAAGGGTATGTGTACAATTAACGTTTTTTGTGGTTTAAAACTTTAACTGAAATAAAAAATTATATTGGGTTAAAATGTTGGAGAAATGATTTTGTTTGGTACAAGGAATCTCGCTGTTCTACTTATTTACTATAACTTAACGCGAAAATAATAAATATATAGCAATAAATAGTAAAATAATGTATTTAAGGACGTAGGAGAATTGATATTCGTTAGCGAATGGGTCCAACGCGTTTTGAACGGAATAGCGTTGAAACACCGTTGGGAACACAGCAGAACTAAAAATGTTATTTAAACAATAAAATATGATAAAGTATTTATTGAGATTTTTAGAAAAAATGTTTATGAGTAATTTAAGACCTTATTTGTATTAATTTAATACGAAATAAGTGAAATAAAAGATAAAATATGGAGCACTGTTATATTAGGGTATTCTGTCAAATTTTTATATAATTCAATGAAAAGTGTTTTAGATATGATTTTTTAGTAATAGAAAAACAGTGAAAAGTATTAATTTATTATTTTAAAGCATTTGAAAGGTAATAATTAGTGAAAATGAATGTGTTTATTCTGTACTATTTGTGTGTATTAGACAACGTTTATCGACAGCAAGTTACAGGTTACACCGGTGAACGCTAAATGGCAGCCTAGTAAACAGTTAATAAGACTTTGACAAGAAAAATATTTAACAAATAAAAAAAAGCTAATGACTTATTGAATGTTCATAAAAAATGTTACTAGTGGGTTTTCGGGGTCGCTAATTACAAATTTGATATGAGATTTCCAAAATTCAAAATACGAAATAAAATATAACGAATAGAAAAAAATTAAAACATAATCAAATTCTCCATCAGCTTGTTACTCGGGGGTTTTTGAGTTCGCTGATTACGAATATAATAACAGATTTTGAAAATTCAAACTGTCGAATCCAATATGGCGAAACAAAAAAATTAAACTTGAAACAAATTCTCTGGAAGTACGTTACTCGGGGGTTTTTAGGGTCTCTGATTACGAATATAATAACAGATTTTCAGAAATCATAATGGCGGATTCAATATGACGGATCAAAACAATTAAACAATAATCGAATTCTCCCAAAGCTCATTAATTGGGGGTTTTAGGGGTCGTTGATTAGGAATATAATAACAGATTTTCAAAATTCAAAATGGTGGATCCAATATAACGGATCAAAACAATTAAACATTAATCGAATTCTCTCAAAGCTCGTTACTTGGAGGTTTTTGGGGTCTCTGGTTACAAATCTGGTATTAGATTCTAAAAATTCAAAATGGTGGATCAAAAAAATTGAAGATTAATCGAATTCTCTGAAAGCTCGTTACTCGGGGTGTTTTTTCGATCACTGATTACGAATCTGATATTAGATTCTCAAAATTCAAAATGTCCAATCAAGAAAATTGTATTAATTTTTTTATATTTAGCAAATTACATAAAAGCTTAAAAGTTGTTTTAAGTATTTAAGATTTTTGGTTATTTTCATTTCGTTATGATGACTTGTTAATAAAATACATGTTATTAATTAACAGTGAACGAAAGTTTATTGAATAATCAACAAAACTTTATTTTAAACTATGTAGTTTAAATTAAAGTTTTGTTGATCCTCAAGGGTGGATTGCTCCGGTTATCATCGTGGCAAAAATGGAAATGCAGCAACTCTGGAAAATGACGACGGGATGGGATGATCCACTTCCAGAAGAAATGGAACGAAATTGGCAAGTTTTCCGTGATCAGTTGAAGTTGATCAATGAATGGCGTATACCAAGATTAGCTAAGATCATTAACGCAGAGGATTTGCAACTCCACGATTTTGCTGATGCTAGTCAGCGTTCTTACGGAGCTTGTATTTATCTGAGGTCATCAAATGGTGGGAAGCATCATTCCATGTTGCTCTGTTCAAAGTCAAGGGTGGCTCCAGTTAAAATCATCTCATTATCCAGACTGGAGTTGAGTGCCGCGGTGCTACTCATAAAATTGAATAAAGTAGTAATAAAGGCTCTCAAGGTCATGTTAGAAATTTTATTTTAATTGAAACGGAAACTCGTGTTTCCTATTTAATTATGCGCAAGTCAGTGAAAAGCGAGCGAAACGAAATGAAAAGTGAAGGAATCGAATGAGAAGATTAGGAGTAGGGTTTTTAGAAAGATTCGTTTGGGCGATGTAACCGGTCGTAATCGTGAAAGTAATTCATATGTCGTGAGTTTTAATTGTTTAAAGGCAGTATGCTGCAGATTAATCAATTGTACATATATTTTATATAATTTTAAAAGTGCACACAATTTGAAATATATTTTCTTTAACGTCATTCGTTTATTATTTATTTAATACTCATCACTATCTGCCGTGAACAATATATAATTATTGGTGTAAAAATAATTTATAACAAATTCAGAAGTGGGATACTCTCAAGAAAAACTGACGCAGTGTAACAAAAAAAAAAGTTATAAATTCTTTTTTTTGGATAGTGGCTTTAATTGGAAAATTAATTAATCACATGCGGCCGGTAATCTTTAAGAAGAAAGTGGATATTGTCGGATTACAGTGTAGTGAATATTTGATGTGCAAAGTGATCTCGAGAGTGATGTGAAGTTTCATGGCAAGTGATGAGTTTGAAAAGTTTCACGAAAAATTCCAAAAAGAACAATTGTTATCAAGAATTGTGACGAGAAAGATGTCGGAAAAAGAGAAAATCGAAGCCATGATGGCAGAGATGAAAAAACTTAAAGCGGAAGTCTCAAGGCAAAAGGCGAGGAGAGCCGAAGAGAGAGCCGATTACGACCGACGACTAATGGAATCCAAAAATGAAACAGCAAAATTACAGCGTGCGATGGAAGAGGGCAGAATCAATCAAACTTTTGAAAATCCACAGACAGCAGAAACATCTCAACACGGTGCGCAGGACACTTTGGCGCAAGCAATGTTTCAAATCAATTATACCTTAAAGAGTTTCCAAACTTTAATGGAAAAACAACAAATAGCTCCTGGGCAGGGTGGAAACATTCAACAAATTTTGTCTGATCCAAGGAGCGTAATTTCTGACTTTAAAGGAAGTGAAGAGCCCGAAAAGGCCAGAGCTTGGATCGAAGAATTCGAAAGTGCCAAAGTCATTGATGAGTGGAGTGATGCTGTAGCATTGAGCATTGGAAAATCGAGGATGAGAGATTCTGCATTAAAATGGTTGTTGACAAAGTCTTCAATAATTAAAGATGTTACTTCGTTTGTGCAAGCACTCAGAGCTACTTTTCTACTGACACAAAATAGATCTGAAATGCTAAAATAAATGATGTCAAGAGTTCAAGGTCATCGAGAGTCAGTTCAGGATTATTTTCACGATAAAGTTTGGCTTTGTTCAAAACTAAAGCTAACTGTAAACGAGATACAGGATGAGATAGCAGCAGGTTTATGGCAAAAGGAAGCTGCCAAACACCATCTAGTGCAAACGTTCGAGTCAACTGATGAAATTCTGCAAGAATTGCTACGGTTCCAGAGTGTGGATAGTCGACGTAGATCACGAATCGCCGTACGAAAAGAAGGAGAAACGTCGTTGAAATCAGTTCCTCGATCTGGATCATCAGCTGAGTCGAAGGAGTCATCGCGGGATGATGGAAAACGAAATTGGTCAGTTTCATCGCAGGGGGTAAGAAAATGTCATCGTTGTGGTTCTACCAAACATTTTATCAAAGATTGTACAAATCCAAAGCGAGAAATAATATGTTATAAATGTAATGCTCCGGGTCATATAGCAACAAGATGTCCACTGTTGCGAGAAAATAAAACAGAAGGGTCATCAGGAGAAGTAAAATTGGTAAATAAAGCGGGAAATGATCAATCTTTTTCCAAGTTTTTTCGTGAAGTAAAAATCAATAATATAAATTTGACAGTGCAAAATTGATACGGGTGCACGGGTGTGCACGATAAGGGCATCAACTGTTTTAAACCAAAATTTAAAAATGACTCCCTTAAAATCTAAATTAGGGGGGTTTGGGTCAAGTGAAGTTTGGTGGCCTGGGGTTATGCGAGAAACATTAATTTTAGATAAATTAGAACCTAAAGTAATCGAGTTTACAATTGTCCCAGATACCGCTAAGGAATTCGAAGTCATTTTAGGAAGGCCCTTTACCGAAGCTTTAGATGTGAAATACAAACGTATTGGAGGCGATTTGATATTTTCCAATGTAGATTTATCGATTTTAGGAATAGAAAATGTCGAGTTACCAATTTTTAGTAAGAAAGAAAAACAATTACAACCGGGAGTAATAAATTTCATAAATGTAAAGTCCTATATGGGGGATATTCGTTTGCCTATTGCAAATATAGGAGATAAAGAAATAACGTTGGTACAAGGAGAAAAGTTGGGAGATGCGATTCTTACGATAGAGGGGACTCCCGTGAGAGTGGGGAGAGATAAGGAAATCGTAGCGAGTGAACTAGTGACAGACGAGTCAGTCACGATAGAACAGAAGTCAGAGTTATTAAAAATATTAAATGAAGTCAAGGTGTGTGTTGCGGACGATGAAACACAATTGGGTTGTACTCAGGCATTGAAAATGGAAATAAAATTAAAAGAAGGCGCAGAGCCCTTCTGAGCAAAGCCTTATCGTTTAAATGTGCAGGATAGAACAGATTTAGAGAATATTATTAGTAAATATCGAGCTGCTCGATTGATTAAAGATACTAATGCCGAGTTTGCAAGTCCTGTGTTTATAGTTAGAAAACCTGATGGTACGCCCAGAATGGAATCAGATTATCGTGAATTAAATAAAATTACAATTCCTTTTAACTTTCCCATACCGAATTTTGATGATCTGTTGGAAGATCTGAGTGAAGCGCGATTATTTATTAAATTAGATATGTCTCTTGGTTATTTGCAAATGCCTCTTGACGAAAATTCTAAAAAAAACAGCTTTTATTACGGAAAATGAGACCGGTCAATTTGAGAGAGCGATGTTTGGATTGGTAAACGCTCCATTATACTTTGCAAAATTAATACATCGAGTTCTCGGTATTGCTAGAAAAAAGAAAATCGCATTCATGTTCTTTGATGATATTTGTTTTCATGCTCGAGATTGGACAGAATTACTTAAAAATTTACGAGACGTTTTAATGTTATTGAGAGACGTTAAATTAACGTTAAATCTAAAAAAATGTGCTTTTGGAATGCGTCAAGTGGATTATTTAGGTTATACCTTAGGTGCTGGTTCGATTATACCAGGTGATAGAAAAATTCGAGCGATACAAGAATTTCCGGTTCCAAAAAATAAACATGACGTTAGAATATTTATTGTATTAGCAAGTTTTTTTCGTCGTTTTGTAGTAAATTTTTCAAAAATAGCTGCCCCAATATATGAATTATTAAAAGAGAAAGAACCTTTTGTTTGGTCTAAAAATCAACAATCAGCAATCGAGACTTTGAAAGCAATTTTATCAAGTAAACCTGTTTTAAAGGTTTATAACCCAAAAGCTGCTATAACCGAACTGCATACCGATGCATCTGCGGTCGGTTTAGGGGGAATTTTACTACAGACAGATCGAGTCGAAGATAAAGAGCGTATGGTCTATGCAATAAGCAGAAAAACGACTGAAGTTGAATCTACGTATCATTCCAGCCGTTTGAAATTGCTGGTGATTCATTGTAGATGTTTGGTTAATATCAATGCTTGGAAAACACAAAGCTCGCAGATAGCTAGGTGGATCAGTGCAATTTCAGAATTTAATTTTGATATCAGACATACTCCAGGAGTGGGATTACAAATAGCGATAGCGCTACGAAGATTTCGCTACGTAGCGATTCAAAGCTATACATTCACTTTAAAAATTTTTCTTGCTATCGGGTGACTAAAAAAAATGGTATCATTTTGATAGATTTCGGTTGGTACAATTGTATTTCTGTGTATTTTTTTTCTCATATTTGCTTTATTTTATAATTTAACAATTTTTTTTAAAATCAAGAATGTATCAAATTCATGAGGATTTCCCACGATGAAGAAATGAAGCAATTAAAAGAAATATCTAAAAGACTAACAAATTTTTCAAGTGTAATAATCTCAAAAGTTATAAAGAAGGCAATTTGAGGCAACGATAATTATTAATATTATTATATTAACACTTTTATTTCTAAATTTTAACCTTAAATTTTTTTATAATTAATAATTATAAACTAAATAAAACATAAGAATAATAAAGAAATAAAGAAAACATTTATTTTAAATTTCTATCCTTACAAAATGTCAATAAAATAATTCAACTTTATCCAATAATAATAAATTATTTACTTTTCTTTTTTATATTAATAATTAAATATTTATTGCATTTATATTTATTATCTTTTTCATAAGATTAAAAGTTTCTATTAGACATTGTCTAAAATGGGGAAAAAATTTAATTTAAAAAATTTTGAAGATATAACCTCGGAAATAGAATTTCTGTTCTCACGCAAGGTTTCACTAAAAAAATGTATAGGGCATTTTTTGTGAGTTAAAGAGTTTTTCAAGAAATGCAAATTTAAATCAATTTAATTAAAAAAAATTATCAATTTTTAAGTTTAGGCTGGTAAAGAATATCCTAATTTTAAATGTCATGCAATTATTATTTGTAATTCTTGCAATAAGATTAATTTTCTTAATTTTTATTTATTAAATTAAATTAAAAAAATTTATTTTCTTTATAAATTATTTTAACATTAAACTAGATAATTTATTTTTAAAGTTGTTATTTATTAAATTAATAGGTTATTTGCAATATTAAAGTATAATTTATTTCGTCACTAGTTAATTATTTTATTTGAAACTAACAGTTGGCAAACATGAAGTTAGAGAATTGTTTCCACCTTCGTGTAGTATTTGTTTGCTACGTAGATAAAACCTTTTAGGAAATTGACATGAATTCTATGTCAAAGGTCTTATCCAGTAGGGTTATGTTTATATTCTCTTCGGAATTACGATCTTGCAGTTTAAGTTTTGAAAAAACTGTCAACGCTATTTTATTTTGGACATCATTTAGAACAAATTTGACTAAAAATATGTAAGTTTTTAACCCTAAATAGCGAAAAGCGCTACATAGCGACTAGCGCTATTCGTAATCCCACTACAGGGGAGAGAATGCAGCATGTCAATGCTCTTTCGCGTGCGCCAGTCAACGAAGAAAATTTAAAAATAATGACTATTGAAACGTTGGAAGACAAAATTTTAATGTTCCAAAGAAGCGATCCAATTCTTAATGAAATAATTAATATTCTAAAAAAACTTGAATCGAAACGAACAAAATTGGAAAAAGAAAAGGTGAAAGATTTACATTTAAAAGAAGGTTTGGTTTTTAAAAAGCATTCAGATGCATCGGGGGAAAAGAACTTTATTTTGTACCTAAGTCGATGCGAAAATCAATTGCTGTAAGATATCATGATTTTCATAGTCATTTGGGCGTTGATAAAACAATTAATCGCATAAAAGATTATTATTATTTTCCCTACATGCAACGTTATATTAAAATGCATATACGGAATTGTTTGGAATGCATACTTGCTAAACGAAAAGCGGGTAGGAAGGAGGGTGAATTGCATCCTATTCCACCAGGTCGAAGACCTTTCGAGATTGTTCATTGCGATCATGTTGGGCGGTTTCCAACAACGACGCGCAAACATAAATATGTTCTCGGATTTGTTGATAATTTAACGAAGTTTATTGTCGTTTTTCCAGTTTCAAACGCGAGCGCAAGAGTGACGGTGCAAAAAGCGGCGGAGTTAGTTAATCAATTTGGTGCTCCTTATCGTTTAGTTAGTGATCGAGGTACGGGATTCACATCCGATCATTTTGAGAGGTTTTGTCAGAATCATAGAATCATTCACACTTTAACATCAAGTCGTCATCCCCAAGCCAATGGCTTGGTAGAGCGTTTAAATTAAACAATTGTTCCGATAATGAAAATTGCGACTCTTGCGGATGAAAATCATGATTTGGACAAGTACCTGAAACATATTGCGAGAGATATAAATACTTCGATTAGTAAATCTACAAGTAAAACTCCATACCAGTCACTCTTGGGCTATACGCCACGATTTAATGGGGGAAATCTCAGGGAAATTACGCGTTCAAAGGAAGTTTATCAGTCGCCGAGTGATATTCAGATAAAAATTCGAGAGAGCATTTTGAGAGAACAAGAAAAGTATAAGGAGCGTTTTGATCAAAATAAAAATAAAACCGTTAAGTATGATGTGGGTGACATTGTTTTTGTGAAGAAAAATCCTATTGCTACGGGTTACTCTACAAAGCTCCTGTCAGCATTTGGTGGTCCATTTGTAATTGTCAGTCCTGAACTGAATGATACATATCGTATTAAAAAGTTAAACGAATTTAAGGATAAAAACTATGAAACCACTATTCACGTGAGTCAACTGAAGCTTTGGCGAGGAATCGATTAAGATGAAGATTCAGATGAAAATGAATTATATGCGAAAAATGATGTTAATTTGGAGGATAGTTTGAGTGAGTCGGATTTGTTAGAACAATAAAATTTACTTGAAAAGCAAAACGATGATTTATCGGAAAGACACGATAACATTATGAACGAGAATGAAGGAGAAAATGAGATTTCGAAAACTTTTGTTGAAAGTGAGAATGTGAGAAGAAGTTCGAGAGTACGCAATCAGCCTCAACGTTTGCAATATTAAAATTCGTATCATTTTTGTTTTAAATTGTAACTTGTGTTGGAAGGCTAACAAATTTTAGGATGGCGGATTGTTAGAAATTTTATTTTAATTGAAACGGAAACTCGTGTTTCCTATTTAATTATGCGCAAGTCAGTGAAAAGCGAGCGAAACGAAATGAAAAGTGAAGGAATCGAATGAGAAGATTATGAGTAGGGTTTTCAGAAAGATTCGCATGGGCGATGTAACCGGTCGTAATCGTGAACGTAATTCATATGTCGTGAGTTTTAATTGTTTAAAGGCAGTATGCTGCAGATTAATCAATTGTACATATATTTTATATAATTTTAAAAGTGCTCACTATTTGAAATATATTTTCTTTAACATCATTCATTTATTATTTATTTAATACTCATCACTATCTGCCGTGAACAATATATAATTATTGGTGTAAAAATAATTTATAACAGTCAAATTCAGCAATGTGACATTTTAGTCCGACTCAACGATTGTCCTCAATGGGAACAATACTCCATCGTATAAGCTAGAAATGTTTGAAGAGAGTCATCCGAGTAGTCGCTTATTGCATCCGGTTTGGTCAAAATGCACGGAGGAGGGAACGACATGCGTGATATGTCTTAAAGCTAGGCCTAATCTAAAACAAGCTTATACCGAAGTCCCCTATTACGATTGTTGGTACTTAAGTCGCAAGAGCCATTGCACCTAACCCCGGCATACTCAACCCTCCCTAGAGTCCCGTCCTATTCCAAAAGTCCAATAACTCTTCTACCGAAAGGTCGCAAATCCAATCTGGGTCTACAAAGGCATGACCCCAGCATTGATGTCTCACTGCAGCGTAAGCTGGACAGTGACATAAAATATGAGTCAAAGATTCCTCTTCTGCATCACACAATCTTCACCTAGGTGAGACGTTTCTACCTAATTTGTGCTGATGATTGTTTAGGAGGCCATGTCCTGTGAGCAGCCTGACCACTGTTCTAACTCTGATCTTGTTCAGTTTTAGAAAGGACTTGGCAAAGCCCCTATTGAGTTTTAATCCCAACAGAGCCTTAGCTTGTCTACCTACAGTAGTCTCCGCCCACTCTCTCTTATGACATCCTCTAGACCATCTTTCAATGGCCCCTTTATCCGCGCCTGGAATAATGCCTACCGCCGGTTCCGGGCCTACCATAGTCACCTCAGACCCTCTGCGGACTAAAATATCCGCTTCCACATTTCCTCTGATTCCCGAGTGTCCTGGTACCCAGATTAATGAGAGCTTATTTTTCAAACTTAGCTCGTCCAATACCTTCCGACATTCCCAAACTAGTTTTGGCTCTATAGTTCAAGTTTCAATTTCACCGTTTTCAACTGGCTTCTAATCCACCAAAAAACTGCAGCATGTAGAAACCCTGGCAACAGGACCATACGTTAGAGCTACTGAACCATATCCGGTTTTAGACCCCAAGATGATCCAATAGCCCTTCTGCAAACCCAAAAAGTAGTGCAAAACCTACTATATTGATATTCTAAGTGCTTTCTCCAGATCAGCTTCTTATCCAGAATCACTCCCAGATATTTGACCGAATCAGAAAAAGGCACTTCTCTCCCATAAAATACAGGTTTTCTCACAGTGAGAACCTGGTATTTCCTAGTAAAGATAACAATATCCGTCTTGTCTGGATTAACAGATAGGCCAGTTCGTTCACACCATCTCTTGACGATCCCTAATGCCCTCTTTGTCAATTCTAAGAGCGTATGTAACGAGAGACCTCTTACAACAATCAGGAAATCGTCCGCATAGCTTTGCGTATAAAATCCCTGTCCATTGAGATCTACTAATAACTCATCTGCAACTAAGCTCCACAAAAGAGGAGATAAAACCTGTCTTGTGGGCAACCATAGGAAACTAAACCATTTATTTTGGCCTCTCCATACTCTGCTTCCAGGGCTCTATTATAGAGCATACCTTTAATCCACCTAATCAATGGATGTGGTATGCCACATCTTTTAGCCGCATTGCATATTGATTGACTACAGGTATTAGAGAAAGCCCCCTCTATATCTAGAACAGTGCCTGCCGCATAACCCCCTGAGTCTGACTCTTCCTCTATTCTGCTAATCGATAAATGAAGGGCTGTTTCAACAGAACAGCCTGCTCTATACGCATGCTGTCCTGGAAAGCTAGGCAAATAGAGATCAATTATGTTATGGTAAGTCTTCCAAGAGTGAGAGTTTCTGTTACGAGACCATTTAAAAATGTTGGAATGGACTTTTGTGGTCATTTTTTTATTAAAGAAAAAAGAAATAGAAATAGATCAAAATTAAAAGTATATGCGGCCATATTTGTATGTCTTGCTTCTAAGGCGGTTCACATCGAGTTAGTTAAGAACTTAACGACCGAAGCGTCGGATGCCTGCGCAGCTTTTTTGTAAGACGCGGAAATGCTCGAGCCTTATATTCCGATAATGGTACCAACTTCGTAGGCGCCAATATTGAGCTTAAGGATCTTTACGACTTTTTAAACTCAAAACAGGGAAATGCAAAAATTCAGCGAGAATTATCAAATGAATTAATTGAATGGAATTTTAATCCCCCTCGGACTCCCCACTTTGGCGGAATCTGGAAAGCAGCCGTGAAGGCCCTTAAGCATCATTTGCAAAGAATGATCGGCGACGCGTTATTGCCATTTGAAGGTTTGAATACGCTTATGTGTGAAATTGAAGCCTTGTCAAACTCGCGCCCATTGACACCAATGTCCTCAGATCCAAAAGATTAAAATATATTAACACCGGGACATTTGCTTATCGGACAATCACTTGCAACTATTCCCACGACCGACCTTTCCACAATTCCTGTAAATAGATTGAGTATGTGGCAACATATTCAAAAAATGAAGGGAGATTTTTGGAAAAGGTGGGTAGGGGAATAACTTAATGAATTAAATGCAAAGAATAAATGAATTGTAGGGGAAAGTAATATAAAGGTGCGACATTGGTGACGATAAGGGAAGATAATATTCCACCGATGCATTGGTGTATGGGCCGAGTTGTTGAGTTGATTCCGGGTAATGATGCAATTGTGCGAATAGTAAAAATAAAAACTGCAAAAGGAGCCATTGAGAGAGGAGTAAAAAAAATTTCACCGCTTCCCGTTGAAGCTTAATTTATAAAAATAAAATATTGATCTGTCAAGGCCGGGAGGATGTGTGATAGGGTATTCTAAATTTTAAACTGTGACTGATGGGTGATGCCCTCTGTGAACGAATTTTAAACTTAAATACGAAATTAGAGAAAGAAAGAAAATGAGCGATTATTTAAATAGAAAATTTTTCCTTGCGAAAGTCAGAATATCACTACCCAGATAGCACGGAAACTTGCGGCAAGTTCACCGTGCAAGCTTGCTGCAAGCTTGTCTGAGCTAGCGAAATGTCCCACCCAGGGCAAGCTTGCCGTGAAAGCTTGCTGTAAGCTTTCCAGGAAAGGTTGCTGCAATCTTGCCATGAAAGATTTCTACAAGATTGCTGCAAGCATACTAAGAATGATTGCGGCAAGCTTGCCGTGAAAGATTGCTGTAAGCTTGCTACGTAAGGTTGCAGGAGAATTTCAACAAGCTTCTGGAAAGATTGCTGCAAGGTTGCTGCAATTTTTAAAAAATACATTTTAAATTTAAAAAAAATTTATTTGTTTTTTTTATATTTGAAAATCCTTGTGACGTTTATTATTATTAATTATGTCCTGTTTATTTTCATTTGGAAACTTAACGAGAAAATTTTCGAAACAAATTTGAGGGGACCGGGAATTGAACCCGGGTTCGACAGACACTAACTAAAGACCCTAACCGAGAACCTACTCGACCAACTATCAGAGAATAAAAAAATCTTGCTCTTAACCCTCGTTTTTCAACTGTTTTTCAACTCATAAAAACAGTCGAGGGTTAAGAGCAAGATTTTTTTATTCTCTGATAATTGGTCGAGTAGGTTCTCGGTTAGGGTCTTTGGTTAGTGTATGTCGAACCCGGGTTCAATTCCCAGTCCCCTCAAATTTGTTTCGAAAATTTTCTCGTTATGTTTCCAAATGAAAATAAACAGGACATTATTAATAATAATAAACGTCACAAAGATTTTCAAATATAAAAAAAACAAATAAATTTTTTTTTAATTTAAAATGTATTTTTTAAAAATTGCAGCAACCTTGCAGCAACCTTTCCAGAAGCTTGTTGAAATTCTCCTGCAACCTTACGTAGCAAGCTTACAGCAA